TCAAAATTATTGATTTTTCTTTTATGCCAAAAATCATTAGGATATTAAGTAAAGATCATGTTCCATGAAGATATTTTGTAAATTTCCTACTATAAATATATTAAAACTTAATTTTTGCATTGCTAAGAACTTCATTTGGACAACTTTAAAGGCGATTTTCTCAATATTTTTAGATTTTTTTGCACCCTCAGATTCCAGATTTTCAAATAGTTGTATCTCGGCCAAATATTGTCCTATCCTAACAAACCATACATCAATGGAAAGCTTATTTCAAAAAATTGACCCTTATGACTGGTTTTGTGGTCCATGGTCACATATAAAATAGTATTTTTTGACTTGTTTTGAGCATGAACCCAACCTAACTTATGCAATTTTGCTTTTTAGGTAGATTTATAGTTTTAAAGATGTTAAGATACATAATGTCTGTCTGTCTGTCTGTCTGTCTGTCTGTCTGTCTGTCTGTCTGTCTATCTATCTATCTATCGCATTAAAAGTATAAGCAATCACATGCATAAGAGTTCCAACAAATGACATGTGCTGTGTCATTTGCCCTCTTTAGCTCGTGGTACTGCTGCATTCACCTGATCTGCGTGTTGCTGGTGCTGGTTCTTCCTGTGAAGTCCAGACGCACGAAACAACAGGAACAGCCAAGCAGCGTTCAGGCCAACGAACAGAACTGTCTCTCCTCTCCTCACAACAACTGCAACCAGAAGCAGAAAGCCACATGAGGGCAGGAAGGGCTGCTCGACAGAGGAACTCTGATATCAGTACTGAGAGACAAAGAGTGGCCATTTCCTCCCTCAGATCCAACGACACTGACAGTGACATTAACAAGGCATAAACTCCAGCAACAATACAGCGAAAAGACACGGTTAACCCCATAGTTGCCCTGTTGGAGATGGGTTTTAAACAGGAAATCTTCATAGGATCAAATGAAATTGGGGTGATTGATTATTAAAATGGTGAATAATTGACAAATGTCAGTTAATCTGAAGTTGCCTTAAACCCTCCATATATTTAGGGCCTGAAGCCTCATATGGGGATCGTGTTACATAGGAACGGACCAGTCATTGTTGGCTTATAGATTCACTACATTAGTGCGGGAAGTCTAGCACTGGAATCTGCTTCCACGGTACCTAGAAGGTTTCTGCCATTGTCAGTTAAACAAAGTAACCTCTCTTTTAGTTCTTCTCAAAGGAAATGTGTGCGGTAAATGAAAAGAAACAAGTCCAGTTGCGTGTCGCCAAACTCATAGGCCTTAGGTTCCTGTCTCCTGCCATTGCTTCATCTTTATTCTTTTTGAATTTCTGTGCTTTTCTAGTAGGTTCATATCTGCTGCTTTCTTTGGGTGTGTCTTCATTTGGAAAATTGTTTTTGCTATAATTTTTTCAGTGATTTTTGTTTATTTTTAATTAAGGGCTTTTGGTTGGATTAAGGGTTGTATTGATGCTATTTTTAATGGGTTGTAGGTTTCCTCAGGGCACACATGTTTCAGACAATTTTAGATGTCTCTCTACCATCTATGTTTCTCCCACAACATACAGCCCATCTGGAGAAAACAGAAGACAGTTCAATAATACCCAGTATCACAGCTTGTTTGGGTTTTAATTACAGCTGTAAATGGTAAGTGCAATATCTGTATTGTTTCCATAGGTGCATGTTAAATGAAAGGATCACATTAGTTTTGCAAACAGTGCTAATGCTCTCATCACATCAACAATAGTCAGAATTGTGTAGAGGTTCAGTATTCAAGTACACTACCAGCTAAAAGTTTGGACAAATCAGATTTGTTCCTCTTGATCTTAAAAACCTGTTGAACTACAGGCGAATGCTTGAAATGAGTAAATATGAATATAAATTGTGCCAACATAGTAATTCCTTAAAACTAAAATATTTAGTTTTAATAGTATTTTTATTTTATTTTGTGTCTCACATAGTGAGGGAAAAACAGCCAACAGCAGTGCTCGGCGTGCTTGGGAACTACATCATTCCCATATTTCCATTTGTTATTTTAAAGTTTTGATGACTGTATTATTCTAAACTGTGGAAAACGGTAATAATAAAGCATGAAGTCTTGACTCTTTACTGGTAGTGTACTGTACATGCAGTACTCGGATGCATGCAGTTTCAAATTTTATTTAATATATATATATTTTTCTATGAATACATCAAAACTCTTAGGCCCTAAAGAAACCTGCAAGTTGTGTTCCTATAAGATTTTTTCTTGAACTTTGATCCTCTAAAAGGCCTCATTTGATTCAATGATCTGGAAAATCAGACCTCATCATATTCCCCCAGAATCTACTTTTTGATATTTGTAATTATGTTGATGCAATTATTTTCTTCCAAACATTTTACCCCTTGGTCAAAGTGACTATAGATGTTAGTTTTTCATTTGGTAATGAAGGGCTGAAGGCACTAAAGCATTTATCAAAGTGAGTCTCACTGGATTCTTGTTAACCAAGCATTTTCAATAACGAAAAAGTTATTCTTGGACGTGAAGTAGACCAGCCTCCATTTGGAGAAAACGCTCCGAACCAGCCCGCTGGGATTTCGTAAGCACACTTCTCTAAAGTCTTATTGTATTTGGACTCCAGAAATGTAAAACCATGATGAATTACAGCCCTGTACCAACAGCAAAACCAATAGGAGGATTAATAAGTCTGCACTTCTGTTGGTAACAGTCTAGATATATACCATATAATTTGTATTTTTGCCTCTTTGTCTTAAAGGTTTAGCTTAAGGAATTAACTGTTTTAACGGCCCAAAGGCAATATGTCCCTCAGTAACCAGTGTACTAACTAGCACCTTGATGCAAAACAAAATGTCCAAAGTGCCAAATCACATGAGGTGCACAAAAGATCACTTTATTTGTACAGGTTTACAACAGGGTGAGAGGTTTGTACTTTAAAATAAAACAAAAAACAGTGATTTATTTGGTCTTAAACTGACATTATTTTTACCTACTGATATGTTGGGAGGAATCACTCCCTCCATATTTGCACTTTTGGTAGGAATGAGTCGGGGTAGTGCTATCGTAGAAAAACTGCCGAAGCAATGCAAGAAACCTCAGTGCTACTCAACAGTTAGAGTATGTGCTTAACAGAAGTTAAACGGATGAATTTGCCCAAAATGTTAAATTCTTTGTAGTAACAAAGGAGAATCAGGATGGTGTTCCAGTGCCATAGAAAGACGTTAAATGTTTGTTCATTGATGTTTATGTGTAAACATTGTCCCTTTGTTCAGATATTGTTCAGTTAAATACAGCCTAACATCTTTTTATTAATTCTCAAGTAATAGTGAAGGCACATAACAGCCTTATTTATCTGTAAAATGTCGGTTCAGTCATTCATTTATTTTCATACCGTTTCCAACTACTGATTCTACAAAGAATGACCTAAAGCTGTGTGAAACGGTGTTGCACTATAAAAACGTTACAGTAGTCATTTGTTGTCCACCATCCACCTCAGTTCTGTTGTTTGTCATTGTCTTGCTGGTCTTTAATGGCCATTCAAAATAAGTGATTGTGGCCCTTAGTAAACAAGCAAACCCCCTTAACTGGTTGCTAAAGCTTTCCAGATACTGCACATAATTGTTTAACTTTTCCATTGTAATTCCTACTGACTGGTTGTGATGTTGCATAACCTGGCAGTGTACAGCAAACCTAAAGATGTTAATGAAATGTAATATGTCTATGACGAGATACAGGAAAAGTAATACCTAATATGTTAGCTACTTCAATATAAATACATTTACCAATATCCATTATAAAACACAAGGTTGTCTGTGTAAATGCACTTGGATTGAGAACTGTCCAGAGGAGAACAAACACTGTCTCCTCTATTTATTTCCTGTAATAATCATAAATTGAGATATATTATCCAGCATTTGAAATGTTTAACGAACTGAGTGCTCTGAAGTGATTTTTCCCTTTGAATAAAGGATTTGATATTAAAGGGATAGTTCACCCAAAAATGAAAATTACCCCATGATTTACTCACCTTCGAGGCATCCTAGGCGATGCAATCTGAGTTATATTAAAAAAAAAATGTCCTGGCTCTTCCAAGCTTTATAATGGCAGTGATTGGTTGTTACTTTTCAATAGTCCAAAAGAAGTTGGAAGTTCAAAGAAGTTAGTGGAAGCTAGAGATTACTGCTTATAAAGTTTTAAATATGGATATTTTTCTTACAAAAACGCATCAGTTTGCTTCAAGAGGCCTTTATTCACCCCCCGGAGCTGTGTTTTTTTATGATGGATGGATGCACTTTATTGGACTTCTTTTGGACCATTGAAAAATAACACCCATTCACTGCCATTATAAACCTTGAAAGAACCAGGACATTTTTTAATATAACTCCGATTGGATTCATCTGAAAGAAGAAAGTCATATACACCTAGGATGCCTTGAGGGTGAGTAAATCATGGGACAATTTTATTTTTGGGTGAACTATCCCTTTAAAAATTAATTCCAATACCATGGTGATTTTTTCAAAACAAATAAACCTTATTGTCCTTCCTGGTATTCAAACCTGGAGTGTTTTTTGGTTTTCATATGGGTAAATGCAACAATGGAATAGATAGATAGATAGATAGAGCCAAAGAATATGATTGTATATATTTGAGAACCTTTGACTGTTAATGTTTTCTGTTGTTAATCAATACAAGAAGTCAAATGAGAAACGGACAAATAAAACGTGTTGTAACTGCAGTCTGTCAAAACATGGGCGTAACCGTGTCCTTCAGTGGGCGTGGTTTGCGCACAGTAGGTGTGTCCATGTCTAGTTCATTTTAATTTCGTCCACACCCCTGTTCACACAATATGGCTGTTCTGTAACGCAGGACTGACTCCAGATAAACAGGTTATGGCAAGCAACAGAGTTATGTGGATTATTTTGGACCTTGTTTTTATCCAGGAGGGAGATGTAAGTTACAAGTTACAATTTGGAATAATGTAACAAACTGACACGTGTTTTAAGACGTGAATTCATGTCAATGTGTCATTTTCAAGTAAGTCAAAGTAAGTTTTTATTTTTTTAAATGCCACATAGTAGCTTTGAAACACTGTTAAAGGGGTCATATGATGTGATTTCAAGTTTTCCTTTCTCCCTTTAATGTGTTATAAGAGAGAACAGTGGACGTACACCAACCACCACCAATCTCCTCAACCCCCACCAGTGTGCAGCATCCACCTGGATGATGCGA